CTGGTTCCAATTCTTTTAAATTTTGTATATACTATCTTAAAAAAGTGGCTGCCCATGTTATATTTAAAGAGAAAACAAAACAAAATATAGTTGCACAAATCCACAAATCACTGATACGCAAAGTGAGGTTACGTGGCGTACGTTGGAATTATATACGTCATAATACGATTGCCGGTCGTCCGGTTTGATGACTTCGGTCGTGTGAGACGACTAATATTGGAGACCCGATCGGAATTGGTATATTGGTAGTTCATATTAAGTCGGACACAGAAATCCGCCATTCTTAACACGTATCCGATTGTCAGCCATTTTAAAATCGTTTTTGTTTTTAAAATTTATATTCACATTTCGATTTCTAGTAGAATAATATTGATAAGGTTGAGTTTGGGAGGAACGACAGTACAGTTTTATGATTAAACCAGCTAGAAAATTAAAAAAATATTTTGCGAGTAACTTTTTTATAGCTATTTTTAATTTCATAAATCTACCTAATTTTGAAGGCGCTCGTTGTTTTCCGGAGCATTTTAATCAGATATATCAAAAAAGTGACTTCCGTTGACAAAACTGATGTCTGGATTAATGATTCAGAATTATTATAATATGAAATTAGATAGGCACTTATAGTTATATTCGAGGAGTGATCATGAATCCATTTGTAATTAGGTAGTTTGGTTAGGTTTTTATGTATTCTTGGTAGCGAATATGAAACCAAACGTAACGTAAGTGCTTAGCGACGAATTTTAAGTGACTAAAATCCAACGTAATATGACGTTGGTAATTGGTAGAATTACATTCCCTATTAGGTCAGATACCGATGTCGAGGCGACCCGAATCTGTATTCCCCATTTAGGTGCAAATAAGGGTCGTCAGGCGGTCGAACCGACGTTGGTACCCGACGTCGGGTTTATTGAACGCGACGTATACACGACGTTAGATAACGTCCAAATGCTACTTGGGTTAGATATTATATTTATCACGTCTAATTGCAAGGATTTCCTTCAGCATTGAATATTGAATGCTGAAATTGCTTGCCCACCAAATTGAAGAATTCTCTTGGATGTTCTGATTTGGAATTTGCTTCTAGTTTCGTAAGTCTGTATTTGTTTGTTAGTTTTCAAAATGATAATTGTTTTTATTAACTTATTTTTGATCTTGTGTAGAAGTAATATATTATGATATTTTATTATTGCCTGACGTTCAGTTCTTTTGTTTTTGGATTACTTCTTCTGCTGGTGTTAGTCTATAGTTTAAATATTATCTTTACTATTTTCTTTTGTTATCTTTCTAGTATGGCTATTTTTTTTCTATTGTATTGGTTGGTAGTCTGTTGGTTTTTTCATTTTTGATGGTACTCTTTCGTAGTTACATATTATATTTTTTTATTTTTTGGATGTGAGAATTGTTCTCTCAGGTTTATTCTACCTCTTTCAATAATCAACGAGGTTTTGGTTATTTAGATATTATATTTATCACGTCTAATTGCAAGGATTTCCTTCAGCATTAAATATTGAATACTGAAATTGCTTGCCCACGAAATTGAATACATACCTTTAAAAGAATTATTATTTCCTCGATTCTTAGACATGATGTATTATAACTGTATGATAAATTTACTTTTTTTCGATTTATTTATTTTTTGTATCGCAAACCAGCAGCGACTGGTTTCTTATTTCCAATTAATATTCTGCTCTAATATATTGTTGGCAGAGTTTCTATATTATTTACCAGTCTGAGTCTCTTCCACCTACAACACTGACAAGAATAATAATTGAAACGCGATACAATGAAAGATTTTGGACAGTTGCCACTTCGATTATGAACGGCGCTTTTTATTTATATTGTAAATAATTTGTCAAGGCGAACATAAAGGCGTTTGATATAAATTAAATTTTTCCTAAATTCTTTTGCCGCAGTCAAAATATGCGTCCGTGTCAAAGTCAACTTACGGACACATTTAAAAGAAAGGAAATAACAAGACATAGATCTATGTTCCGAATGAAGTCAATACAATTTATCATTCCTTTAATGTAAATTTTGATTTTGATCATTGATTTAATTAACTAACTTAGATAATAATTGTACAACTTAACTAACTAAAGATAATAGAAAGTATATGGGTAATATTCCTTCATGTAGTTATTTAATAAAATAATACTATACAGAAAGTATAACAGAAATATTGTCGCGACCCCGTTTTAGAGGGTTGCGGCTAGGGACGTTTTAGGTATCGAAGATCATTAAAACAATCAATATATATAAAAACAAAATATAAATTTATTAAAGAATTAAATACATTAATTTAGGTAGGAGAAATGTCAAGCAGAATACCTTTTGACCAATAAAATATACTTAGAGAAAATATATAAAAAATATAAACTTACTTTACTGTCATTATGATACTTGGAGAACGCAACTCAACTGAACAGCATGACTTCTTCATTCGTTCTCCCCCGAGAGAGCCCCCGACTCCCCTCTGATTTACTTTTTAATTATTCTCCCATATTGATATTTACAACAATAAGAATTAAACAAAGTTCACCTTCAGATCTTAGTATGACGTCAACTTTTTCTAGTTTAATTTTCATTGTGCAAATATTATGTTTATAGAAATATATTTTATTTAATATACTGGGTGATTTATTTTAATGATAAATACTTAAATTCTTGCTCTTGACATTTCCCCCGGTCCTGAAAAAGCTGGTCCCCAGCGTTAAATATAAAGAAAATATAGATATTAAAATAAATTACCTGTGAATATAATAATAATGCAATAAATAAATGAAAATTGTGTTGTGTTATTTTATACATATAAAATAATAAAACTTAATACTCATAAAATAGACTAATATAGAATAATATTTCTTAGAGGCAATGTAATATAGTGATATAAAACAATGAAAATAATATTTAGTGGGATTGTAACTTGAAACATTAATTAAATTAATTTCTCGTACTCTTTAACCCTTTACATTAATAAAAAAAAATCTTGATACCACTTTGTACTGTTGGGAGCAAATTTTCTGCTGGGATCTTCCAATGAACTTTCTTGGGGTGCTTCTATCAGCTAAGCAATGCACACACCAGCTTCTACCCTTGCCTATAATCCATGTGTTCCTAGTTGCATGGGTTTTTCTGTTTTCATTTCCATGCATTATTTAAATATCATATGCGCTGAAGGTCAATAGCGCGAGAAAGACTGACTTTTAAACTTGCAGAATCAGCATACTGTCCATTTGCTTCTTGTTTACTATGACGTTTCTTTGTTTATCATGCGTTTAATTCTGACAATAAACGTTCTATCCAATATTTTCATTCTGGAGTTGTTTTTAATATCTGACCATTTCTGACATCATGTGGATGCTGGATGGTAGTCGTTACGTTACATGTCTTCTACTGTCTATAAGTGTATCCTGGTTACTTAAAAACGAACTTCAGTAAATGCAACCAAACGTTGTGTTCAATTTCCATTTTATAGCAATACGAGGCAAGAAGGGCAGGCGGCGTGTTTAACATGCAACTCTGCTGGATAGAGCAAACGTCTGTCGCTGGAATGAACGGCATCATCGTATTCTCGTTCTTGGTGTGGTATCGGTAGATATACAATGTTGGATAAATTATGATGAGGTGTTAAAGAGTCGCGATGTCATGTCGCGACCCCGTTTTAGAGGGTTGCGGCTAGGGACGTTTTAGGTATCGAAGATCATTAAAACAATCAATATATATAAAAACAAAATATAAATTTATTAAAGAATTAAATACATTAATTTAGGTAGGAGAAATATCAAGCAGAATACCTTTTGACCAATAAAATATACTTAGAGAAAATATATAAAAAATATAAACTTACTTTACTGTCATTATGATACTTGGAGAACGCAACTCAACTGAACAGCATGACTTCTTCATTCGTTCTCCCCCGAGAGAGCCCCCGACTCCCCTCTGATTTACTTTTTAATTATTCTCCCATATTGATATTTACAACAATAAGAATTAAACAAAGTTCACCTTCAGATCTTAGTATGACGTCAACTTTTTCTAGTTTAATTTTCATTGTGCAAATATTATGTTTATAGAAATATATTTTATTTAATATACTGGGTGATTTATTTTAATGATAAATACTTAAATTCTTGCTCTTGACAATATACAAGTATACAGATATCAATTAAAGTTGGCGTGCATGTCACCAAATACGTTGAAACTATCAACAAATTAAATTTATAATAAATTCTTTTTTTCCATAGCAACTGTTAAAATTGCCGGATATCTATAAAAAATGGTAGATAAAATAGTACTTTAACCGCCAAGGGTAGATTAAATGTTAAATGATACTTTAACAGCGAGGATAGGTTAAAAACTATTTTTTCTCGCACGTTTTATAATTGCTTCCATTTTTGAAAATTTTAAATTACTTTTCTCATAAGTTATTCGGGATTTAAATGGAAGTAGTTTGGATATGGCGTTTGTCGCCTCAGCCTGAATATCTGTTGTTAATTTACTTATTTCGTTTTGAGCCATTTCAGACTCAACAATTCAATCGGCAATCAACACGAAAAAAAATATTGACTCAAAACTGACAACTAAAGAGACAGCTTTATTTATTTGTCAAATTACATAGAAACCAACGACAACCCAGCACAATATTTTTTCTACTCGTAATAAATTTCTTTTAATAAAGAATATTTTTTACAACGACGCGACGATACTATTTTATCGTCTTGTCACAAGCCTTGTATAAAAAATAACTATGAAACGTTGAGCGCACTTTTTTCTTTTTCTTATAAGTATCCTATATCCTGGTTAAAAAAAGACAGCACACTTCAAGATTTGCACCACCGAAAAGTAAAAAACAAATTTTAATTCTAATAAACATAATCTTAAACATTTATGACTCCAAGGATTTGCTATTGTGTAATTATTTCCTTTAATCATTCTAGTAGCTAATTCTTCAGAATCGGACCGAATTATAGAAATATTCATTTTTTTTAATTTTATTTCAGGAACTCCTATAAATCGTCTACCCATAATGGCCAAGTCAGTCCTAGATCTCTACGAACTTTACAATTTGGTGATAGCACGAGGTGGACTAGTAGATGTAATCAACAAGAAGTTGTGGCAAGAAATCATTAAAGGGCTTCACTTACCATCCTCCATAACGTCGGCAGCTTTTACGTTACGAACACAGTAAGTACTAATTTATATGAATATAAAACAATATATATAAATATTTGTTTGAAAGTGGTATAGATAATGATTAATTTGAAAGTTATTTGAAATCAAATTTTGGAATATAATATTATTTTTGGACTGATAAGTATTGTCTCTAATATTCCTTGAGTGAAATTGTTAAGGTGCGTATTCATTATCCGCACGAACGAACGAACGAACGAACGAATGTTCGCTAGAGGTATGGACGGGGACCGCACGATAGAACCGCACGATAGAACCGCACGAGAAGACCAAATCGTCAAGATATTATAATAAACCTGTTTTTTTGTTTATATACCGTCATTGAATTATCGCTAAGCAAGTTACTATGGAGCAGTGCACAAGGAGTCGGGCTAGGAAGCGAGAGACCGGAATTCGAATCTCGGCCGGAACATCACTTTTTATTTTTTTTTAAATACTGTTGTATTCTATAGTTTATTTTTGTAGTATAAGAAAAAGAACTATTTGTTCTGTTATTTTTTTATCTCCGTTATTAATATAAATTGATTGTTAGTACAATACCTCATTTAATATAAAATAATATTCTACTTTTTGAAATGTATCGGGCCCTAATTGTACCTAAAAGTACCTAATATATTTTTAGTGATATACCATATTGTAAACTATTTAATATTTCAGTCGCTTAAAAAGTTAATTTGCATTGAATAATTGCCTACCATTAAAAGAAATTTGAGCTATATAACCCTCGATGGGCATATTCTGGGTATGCAAATACTTCCTTTAAATTTTGGGTGTGGTTCAACCGATTTATTCTCAAAACCAGAAACTTCTACATATAAAAAGAAGCAGAGGTCACTAATTATAATAAACTTCACCCTTGGTATTACTTCCACTAATTATAATAAACTTCACCCTTAGAATTACTTCTATCACAATTACAATACGTTCATCTGCATTGGCATTTTCTACTTTTCGATGGGAAACAATAAACTTCCCAATATTTTTTAAATGATGTAACAATTCCTCTTGTGGTTACTTTTCCATAGATATCCTCAACTCTGTCCTCATGTGAATTCAGAGGCAATGAAAATGAAAATTATTTACCATAAACATCGCAAACTAAAAACCTAATAAACAATTTTATACCGAATATAGAAATAAATTCAGTATTCTTACCTATCGTCCAAATCCATGTTAATAGATAATTATTATTTTTAAATATATTTTTGGAACTGCTGGTTTTAGTAATTATTAAATTAAACGAACTAAAAAGTCTTAAAATAAACAATTCTTAACCATAACCCCAAAAATTGCAGATCTCCTGTCAACTTTCTTTATTTTTTATTTATTCATTATTTTCCTAGTGACGTCACAGGTGGTATGCGCGACTGAACGAAAGTGGAGCCGCTATCGATCATACTCTTGTACGCTGACGTCTAAACGCCTTTGATGTACCGACTCCGAAGCGGATGGTCGAGCGCATCGAACGAACGAACGGCCGCATGCGTTCAGTCCCCCGTCTAAATATACCGCACTTTCATTCGTTCGTTCGTTCGGATAATGAATACGCACATTAAATCTGAAAGCGCACGCAGGCAAACGCCTTTGATGTACCGACTCGAAGCGGATGGTCGAGCGCACGACCGAACGAACGGCCGCATGCGTTCGGTCCCCGTCGAAATATACCGCACTTTCATTCGTTCGTTCGTTCGTTCGTTCGTTCGGATAATGAATACGCACCTTTAAGTGTCTCTTGGTCTCTCTCATGTAAGATGCATCACATTTATTTTTATAGTTACTTCTTAACGATATTGTTTCTATTTTTATTCAGTCTTGTTTATTCGCTGACTGCTTATTTTATAGTAATGGATGCACAGCATTATTGTTTCCTCATGATTTTTTTGCTTTGTCGATCCTCTTCTATTACAAAATCACTTATCATAAGCCGATGAAACATTAGAACATACATACCGGGTGTTGCATCGTCGAGCGGGACATAGGAAATCCCATGTAAATTTTAATGGGGTCAATTATTGGCTTCCCTAATTATTTTAGAGAATAATTCTATTTAGGTTTATTGAAGAGCACTAAAAACCCACATTCAAAAGAATAACTTTAGATAATTTTGGTTAGCCCGTTTACGAGTTATCGCCGATTTCTTTTTAAATATTTCTCCTTTCTTATGGCCCTGTATTTACTTATGAGCACCAGTCAAGGTAAAAGATAACTATCAAATGAAGTTGTCATTTCAGAAATTTATCTATTTATTATTCGAAAATATTAGCCATGAATTACACTACCGAAGAAAAAGTATTGATGATTAAATGGTATTATCAAGGAAATAGTTATCAAAAGGTGTCGGACATGTTTGCTGCTCTGTATCCGAATAGACCGATACCTGGAAAATCTACAATCGCAAGGAATATCCAGAGATTTGAGACCAAAGGTACTCTAATAAATAACTGCAGATGTGAAGCAAGACAGGAACAAAGAGAAGATGCAAGAAATGATACCGACTTGGAAGTTTTATTGTGCGTGGAAGAGAACGATGGAAAGATCAGCACAAGGAAACTTGAGGATGAAATAGGAATAGATCACACTACAGCGTTTCGAATTTTGAAACGACATAAATACTATTCCTTCAAACATGAAAAGCACCAAGAGCTACGAGATGAGGACGAAATACGGCGGCAGGCGTTTTGTTTTGATATGATGGAAAGAGCAAACACGGATGGGGAATTTTTAAAAAACATATGTTTCACTAACGAATGCACGTTTACCTTAAATAATAAACCCAATGTACAAAATTATCGATATTGGAACAAAGAAAACCAACACAGGTTTGTCGAATTTGGGGAATTTTTAAAAAACATATGTTTCACTAACGAATGCACGTTTACCTTAAATAATGAACCCAATGTACAAAATTATCGATATTGGAACAAAGAAAACCAACACAGATTTGTAGAAACAAGGACGCAATATCCACAGAAAGTAAATGTTTGGGCAGGGATATTCGGACACAATATTATCGGGCCATTATTTCTTACGCGAAATTTAAATGTAGAATATTATTTGGAACTACTCGAAAATCATATTTTATCTGCTTTACATGATGCCGCTAGGGAAATCAGGAAGTTTGGTACCAAATGGATGACTGCCCGGCACATAGTACCCTGGCTGTTCGGGAATATTTAGACAATAGTTTTAACGGAAACGTTATTGGCCTAAATCATACAGTAAATTGGCCAGCAAGGTCTCCTGATATTTCGCCAAACGATTTCTTTCTCTGGGGCCATTTAAAAAACAGGATATACAAGGATCTAGACGCGTTAAAAAATGCTATTTTTGCCGAATGCAATAGAATTTCAGTTTACCAACTAGCGAATGTAAGAAGAGAATTTTATGATCGCCTGTGGGTTATTGTCTAGCAGTCGATGGAGGAATATTTGAACATCTTCTTAAATCCTAAAGTTCTAATAATTTAATAGTACCTAAATTAATAAGTTATTGAATATTGTAATAATACTATAATTAACCTTGTAATTGATTACTTTATTTTACTTTAATTCATATTAATTTGTATTTTTAAATACATCTTTAAGATTTCCGATGTAGGAATGAGTTTTCAATAATAATAAAGCACTAAATAGGTAAATTTCTGAAATGACAACTTCATTTGACGGTTATCTTTTACCTTGACTGGTGCTCATAAGTAAATACAGGGCCATAAGAAAGGAGAAATATTTAAAAAGAAATTGGCGATAATTCGTAAACGAGCTAATCAAAAATATCTAAAGTTATTCTTTTGAATGTGGGTTTTAGTGCTCTTTTAGTAAACCTAAATAGAATTACTCTCTAAAATAATTAGGGAAGCCAATAATTGACCCCATTAAAATTTACATGGGATTTCCTATGTCCCGTCTGACTATGCAACACCCGGTATATACAAACAATGTTTCATATGTATCTTCAACCAGTCTTGCTACTTGAAAAAGATACCCAACGTGTACCGTCAAAGCAATTATCAACCAGATATTGAAGAGGTACCATTTAGGATCCGGTGCAGTATAAAAATAGTCCTTCCAATTGTGCAAAATTACGTAGTAATTCTATGTTCACGGAATATTGTGACACCCTGTATATTGATACAATCTCAATTAGTTAATTAGTAGCAATAAAGTAATTTAAATATTTTTTTTTTATAAATTAAGTCATCAAAACTAACAAATTTTATCAAATCAAAATCAAATAAAATAACTGAACAAATACAGAGATAAAAATACCACAAAACAATAATATTATTTAATCAATTAATTCCTTTCAAATTCCGAGGGGAAACATAATCCGACATAAAAGATTGCGATTTGTTTGTTTAATAAATATTAAATTTCCCGTAATCTCTGAAATGTTTTCATTGTTACTCAGAATGGGCTAGGCCAATACTAAACGTTTTGGTGAAAACAACTTGTTCCGACGACGCCGCACACTGTTGATTTATCTCATGAAGTACCGACCGCGCCTAATTGTTAAAACAATTCCAGTACTAAAAATTAATTTTATCGTTCATTAAATCAATATTAATCGCACGAATATATTAGGGATTTTGGATTTACCGTTGGACCCAAGATTTTTTTTAAATCATGTAAGAATTTACCTAAGTTAGTTATCAAATATTGTATTTTACTTTGAATAAAAAGATTAAGGAAGGGGCATCTCAAAAACTTAGATTGAACGACGACGCACAGGGACCTAAAATGGTCGAAAAAATTAAATAAAATTATTCCAGTTTATCACTGCCGTTCCAATTTTATTAAAAACGTGCAAAAATGTGATGTAGAGCAGAATCAATAATTTGTTGTTTTATGTTACGTTATCAATAAATGTTGGTAGTTATTGAAATTGCTAAAAATATATAATTCTAATAAAAATAGATAAATTATAATGATTATTTATTAACACAAACATCCGATACGCTACTGAAGCAGGTAAGTCAAATTGACGCATCTAAATTC